TTATTTAAACATCATTTTAATTGTTAAAACATATGATTTGGCCAGGGAAACTTCTTCTTCCTTCTCTTTCTCCTCCTATACTTTTATTTACTTATTTTATACTGATAATTTTAATTTTATATTTGTAACTCAGTGTATTTTTTGTATTTTTGTATTTAATGGTAATTTATTATGTTCTATTGTATTTCAATGTATTTTATTGTGTTGTAAGCCACCCCGAGGTTTCGGCAAGGGGCGGCATAGAAATATAATAATAATAATAATAATAATAATAATAATAATAATAATAATAATAATAATAAGCTTAAATAAGATTGCATTCTTATGGAAGCTGGAATGTTTGGCATTATAATAATAGGGTAGATTTATTTATTTATACATGTATTTATAGGCTGCCTATAATTGCCAGGGCCTTCCTTGGCAATTTTAACATTTCCCTAGAGATCTGGTGGGCTAAATTTCAGCTGCACCACTTAAAGTTCTCCAAGAAGCAGTAGCCCCACAGAACAAGGACTGGAAAATGAGCACATGCGCATTTACATATGCTCAAAAGTGTGTCTGTGGACTGTGCTTGGTAAGGACATGTTCATTTGCAAAAAGAGATGTGATAACAGGGCAGGGGATGGTGCCGGATTTCAGAAAAATCCTCAAGAAGAAAGATTTGGGGGCAGCAGCAGAATTTGGAGGACTTGTGTGCAAATAGGGGAATCAAATATGGCAGAAAACATCCGGACCCCATACCTTTATTCCGGCAAGTGCCCATGGGAGCAGGCCGGTGGGACAGATGGTCTCCTAAAGAGTCACGTCTGCAAATGAAAGATGTGGGGCATCAGTCCTCGTGGGTCACCCGCTAACCTGACCTCTGCTGCCCCACATCAATTAGAACTGGGCCACACTGATTAACCACCTAAAACCATTGTTAAGATTGGCTCTGCCCTTCTTCGAATCCTGCAGTCTTGCGAAGGGGCCCAATGTTAGGGATACGCAGTGCTCCCGGTCAGCTGCCAAATTGTGAAATTTGCCTATTGCTCAAAAATGGTCAATGATCTTTGCCAGAGTAGATAATTAAGCTTGCAATCTACCCAAGGGCATGGCGATCAAAACAGCCCACTTACAATTTGCAGACAGGCCAAACTTTGCTCGCAGAGAGCACTGTAGTGGTTCCTGTAGACTGACAGCCACCTTGTTTTGGGAGTCGTTACTCCAGCCTAGTTCAGTGCTGGCAGACCCCAGAAAGAGGCAACCACGAGAGCAAAACCATCGCCCAGGATTTGGTTCCAGGATCGGTCCCCATCCTGCTCTTTACAGCCCATCCCTCTAAAACTGAAGGCTATCTTGGAAGAGTCCCCCTATGCTCAGCATTCTCTGAAGGCACAATCCTATGCATTGTTTGCCAAGAGAAGTCCTAACATGGCCCTGCCAACTACGATGTCTGGAACGGACATGCTGAGAACTTAGGGATCATTTCTCTCTAAACATGGATAGGATTTTGTTGTTTCTGTGCTATCAAGTTGTCTTCAATTTCGGGTGCCCCATGCAAGAATCCTCTCCAAAATGTTCTGTCCCTGACAGCTCATCTCAGCTCTTGGAAACTCACGAAGAGGATCACATCCTTTTTTACCAAAACATTCATTGAACCAGATTAGTAACACTACTGCTAATATTGGTAATTACTCAGTCCAATCCACAAATGTAGATTGCCTGCAATTCCCACGGCTATAATGACTTCTGATTCTCATCCAAACTGTAACATGTTCAGGATTAAACATGTGATGTATGGGATAATTTCTCCCTCCTGTGTCTGCGTGGTTTTGTGGTCGGAAGACCCAAGATCCAGCATAGGAATATAGGAAGCTCCCTGGGCCCACCTAACTAAGTGTTCTGGACACTGACTGGCAGCAACCCTGCAGGGTTTCCTAGCCCCTGCCTGCAGATGCCAGAGACTGAACTGGAGGGTCAGAAGAACTGCACTGAGATACAAATGCCAGAATTCTGTCCTTCCTCCTTCCCCCTCTCCCTCCGAGCTGGGCATGATGTGAAATGCAGGCAGCCTGCCTCTTTCTTTTGCCTTGAGATCTTTTAAGCTACTTAAAAGGGAGCTTTTAACCTCCCTTCCCTCTGCTTTTTCCAGATGTTGTCACCCCCAACGGTCTGAACATTAAGAAATTCTCGGCCATGCATGAGTTCCAGAATTTGCATGCCACCTGCAAATCAAGGATCCAAGAGTTCGTTCGGGGCCATTTCTATGGGTAAGCTCTCCTGGTCAAAGGGATGGGTGGGTTGCTTCACAATTTGGGGGTGTTTTTATATAAAAGACCCCAACACTTAGTGCAAAATTCCAGCTTCCTTCCATGTGTGGAAATAGCCTTGCTGTGAAGACTACCATCAATTGATTTTTAAAATCCTTATATCTGGACCAGGGTAGCACTATGGATCATGTAAAGAGCTGGAGTCCATCAAACAATTTGGAGTCAGTGGGCACATCTGGAATTTTGGGAGTCTGTCATGAGCAGTCTCATAAAGTGCCCACCATGGGTGAATAAGGGTTGTCCATTTGTAAACTGGCTTCCATTAGAAGCACGACTGGTACAAAGGCAATATTTTCTTAATTTCCCAGAAGGCAAACCAGCGAGATGAGGGGCTTCTCTGGTGTTTCTTATGAGCTTGTGATCCCATGGAGGTTTATGGGGCCTTTCATGACATCGTTGTCTTCCAGGGCCTTTCCCAAGTTTTCTAGCCTTTATAACAAGGAAAATCTGGTGTTAAATTTTAAATTGTGACAAACCAGAGTAAAAGGTTCGTGGAATGGGGAGAATCCGCTACAGTGCTTCTGTGCCACACTGCCACCTTCTGGTTGGTTAACAGAATGCGCAGAGGCAGGGACCTACAAAACCTTGGGAAAAGCCCCCTGCATAGGATGGATTTTTCCTCTGCTATGAAAATGGAAAAAGAAGCTTCCTTACAGCAACAGGTTAAACCTTTTATGCAGAGAAGCCCTGAAAGGAAAATCACTTTTTTAAAGAACATAAGAATAAGGCCTGAGCTCCAACGTTCAGAAACACTCTTTTGGAACCCAGGTACTGGAGAACTTTGCTTTGCAGCATGTTGGTAACCCACTCAAAAAAAAATTAATTCAACAAACCTGGGGCTCCCCAAGAGACATGTCTGGGGGTGCACTGGTACACCATGTTGCAGACCTTAGGGCTAATAAATACATATGTAAAGCAGCATACCAGCTTCCCACTTAAAGATGCTAATTAACATGTTGAGGTCCATGTTGGAGGCCCAGAACTAAAGAACTGAGTAGCAACTTTCTCTGTCTTTCTCTGTCTCTGTCTGAGTAGCAACTTTCTCTGTCTGCTCCTAAGGTTGCATCCTGCACCTAATACCATACATTTCAGTTCTAACATGAAATAGAATAGCTGCCTTAGAAAATAGGACTGCAGGTAGACTTCCAGATTCTTAGCAAAGAAGCTGAGCTGTTTCCAATTATTTTACCCCTTGTTTGCCACAAACAAACATATGTATTTTTAGCTCATTGATTATATTTATAAGGTGTCCATTGAACTAATCCTCTAAGCATCTTGCAATTTTAAAATAGAATTAAAAAGTACAATGTGCAAAACTCTGAAAACACAGTAGAAGAAAGTATAAAAGTACATTAAAAGTCAGCACAATTTGTAAAAATGCAGTGCAAAACCAATCTGTCTGGGATTAATATAGACACATAGTTTGCAGGGGGAAAGAAGAGAGGGTCCTGGCACTGGTTCAACCATCCCACCGCCCTCTGTCTTCTGCCACTTCTCGGGCCTCTTTTCCCCTCTTGCAAGAGTGTATATGTGAGACAGGGCAGAGGCTTTCAGGGGAAATGAAAAGCAGACGAATGATTCCTGAGTCTATTGCTTCAGCCCTGCAAAGAATACCAGTCCCCTTCCTTTGCAGGGGAGTCGCTGCACCTGGATTTCCAAAGCAGAATTTGCCACCGAACACTTAGATTTTGGCTAGCCAAATGCTGGTCTGCAGGATCATTCCAGCCCTTGGACCTTCCCCATCTGGCCCAGGGACCTGCACTCCTTCTGTAATCCTCTCTGCCCACCTGGCCCTTCATCCTGGCCGGGGGTCTCTGGGGAATTTGGGAAATTCCCATGGGGTGGGAAAAGGAAACCTTTTGTGACCAGTTTTCGTTGTCCACCCTGGCTTAGTAGAATGTTTGAAGCAGTCTTCAGTGGAATCCGTGGAGTGACAAGCCTTTTCTCTGATGAGGCCTGCGTGAACTGAGGAAAACTTCTATGCCTTGTGGGCATCTTCTTTCGCTCTTGTACCATCTGTGGCCCATGGAGGAAGCAGGTGGTCTGTTGGCCTCACAGCACCAGGATTTCAAAATTCACTCCAGCTTGTAGCTATACATTGGTGACCTTCACTTGTCATGGTCTAAAGCCTGTGCTGTTTGATTAACTCCACCTTGACGCTTGTTTGCTCTGCTTTCAGCCATCTTGATTTCAACCTTGAAAGGACCTTGTTTTTCTTCATCGCGGGGAGATACGAGTTTTCGAACAAAGGGGCTGACATGTTTCTGGAGGCCTTATCTAGATTAAACTTCCTACTGAGGGTAAGAACAAATCTATCTCTGTATGAAGCTCTCTGAGTCACTCCGAAAAACATAAGAAAAGCCCTGCAGGATCAGGCGAAAGACCTGTAGTCCAGGATTCTGTTCCTGCCATGGTCAAGCAAATGTCCCTGAGAAGCTCATGAGCGGAAGATACTCACAAATGCGCTCTCCTGTTCATGCTCTCCAGGAAATGCTTTACAGAGGTGTACAGCCTCTGAGACCGAAAACAATAAAGCACCCTCAAGCCCAGCAGCCTGATCCTCAATGAACTTGTCTCACCCCTTGATGAAGTCCCTAGATGGGTGACCTTCACTCCCTCATGAGGTAGCTCGTTTCACAGTTTATTGATGTACCAGCTACAGGTTCCAGGATTATGAAAGAGGGAGAGAGAAATCTCTTATCTCCTTGCTGCAGTTTGTACATCGTCATGCATCTCCATCACATCCCCTCTTTGCTTGTCTCCCCATAAGCTAAACCGTCATGGGCCTCCCAATATCCCCTCACCTGTGAATTGCTTCTGCCTCTTGATCATCTCAGTTACCCTTTTCTGCACTTTTCCAGATCAACGCTATCCTTTTCAGTGTGCGCTGATCAGAACTGTGCACGGTAATCCACGTCGAATTGCACCATCGTTCTGTATCAGGGCATTCTAATATTTAGTTTTAGTTCTGATTCCCTTCCTTGTCATCTTCCAGGTCCACAGGAGTGACATCACGGTCATCGTGTTCTTCATAATGCCAGCACACACCAACAATTTCAACGTGGAAACTTTGAAAGGCCAGGCAGTCCGAAAGCAGCTCTGGTAAGCTTCTTCCTTTCTCTTTGCAAGTGGTGAAAGCTTTGTTTCTGGGAAGAGATCAGGCTGGAAGGTTTTCACATAAGCAATGGAAAAGGAAGGTCTGGTCCACATCTCAGACTGTGCCAGCTCAGACTTCAGGTGGGAAGGCCACATTTTTGACATCCTCCACCACGAAAAGCTCCTTGCATGCAGTCAGCTGTCTCATCAGGATGAGGGCCTTGTTTTTTCTTTCTTTGATGGGTTAGTTTATTATGCGGGGACTTTTGTGTTTGCTCAAACGTGGCAGAACATGCAAAACCTGGTTTCTTACCCTTCCAAGTTCTGAAGTGGGACAGTCCAAAATTCTGCCATGCTATTCTGGTAAGACCTAGAATGGCTTGAAGTGTGAGGGACTATATTTCTCCTCATGTCCTCCATCTAGATGGGGAGAAATGGACAGATTCTGTGCTTAACTGTTGGAATGGGAGAGAAATTCATTCTGTTCATGTTTTTATGCAAACTGAAACACAAACTGAACCATCCAGAGAGTTGTTGGTTATTGAGTGGTTTAGAAATTGATTGATTGATTGAATGAATGAATATATTTCCTTTCACACAGCTTAGTTAGAGGGTGGTTATGTTCTCTGTCTTCCAATTTGCAGGGAATGGGAGGGCAACCCTAAAAAATGAAAGGGTCTTGGGTTGCCTTTTGGGGGAATCTAATGCATAGCCATGGATCTGTAGGCTGTTAGGAGGGCTTGTCCTGTCTTCCTGTATCTGATATACATTTGGTAATACACCAAATGTTATAAAAGTGTGTGTGTGTGTGTGTGTGTGTGTGTGTGTATTTAGAGGACTTCTATGCCGCCCCATTTGCCGAAGCCTCGGGGCGGCACACAATCATAAATAAATAACATAATATAAAACAATATAATTTAGCAGTATAACAGTAAAATTTAAGTTGCCTTGGCCAAATAATAAAATAAATAAATAATATTAACAATTAAAATAACGTATGAATAAAAAGGCGCCAAAAAACAAATAACGACGGTGCCAGGCGGACCTCTCTGGGGAGCGCATTCCATAGATTGGGCGCCACCGCAGAGAATGCCCTCCTCCGAGTACCCACCCTCCTAATTTCCTTCACGGAGGGTTCCCGGAGAAGGGCCTCTCCTGCAGATTTCAGGGGGCGGCCGGGCATATATGGATGTAAGTGCTCCTTCAGGTAACCAGGACCCAAGCCATTTCGGGCCTTAAAGGTCATCACCAACACCTTGAATTGGGCCCGGACTTCAATGGGAAGCCAGTGAAGCTGATGGAGGACTGGAGTCATGTGAACATAACTCCCAGTCCCCGTCAGCAGCCTGGCAGCTCTATTTTGAGCCAATTGAAGTATCCGGACTGTCTCCAAGGGCAGCCTCACGTAGAGCGTGTTACAGAAGTCAAGTCGGGAAGTCACCAACGTGTGTGTCACTGTCACCAGGCAGTTGTTCTCCAGGTAGGGGCGCGGCTGATGGATCAGCCGAAGCTGAAAGTACCATATAATAGTGCCATGAGGACTAGAATTTTGAAAAAACTGATTCTCATGAAGTCTGAATTTTGAGCCAGAGTTATCTGCAACATAACTGTGAGAACCATTCTGGTGCAGCGGTTAAGAGCACAGGACTGGGACTCGTGATCTGGGTTCTAGTCCTTGCTCAGCCGTGGAGCCAATGGCGTGCCCTTAGGCCAGTCACAGACTCTCAGCCTGACCTACCTCATAGGGTTGTTGTTGTTGAGATAAGATTGAGGGCAGCAGGAGGAGAATAAAATAAGCCACTCTGAGCTCACTGTAAGAAAAAAGGTGGGGTAGAAATCTAATAAATAAAAAATAAAATGTATCTCCTGCACTGTCTCCTTCTAATGGAAGGCAAATCCAGGTTGCATTCTCCAGATCATATCTCACCATCTGGGGACATAATCAGAGTAAATAACAGAGAAAGGATGAGCTGAGCAAGCCACGTGGAAACATTGACGATTTGTTTTGCTGCCTCTTAGGGACACTGCACATTCTGTGACGGAGAAGTTTGGCAAGAAGCTCTATGACGCTCTATTAAGGTGACTGTCCCATTTCTTCCACTGCATTCCAGAATGGCCTCCCACAACCTGGTGTTCCAGGTGTTTTGGACTACAGCACTGCTGAGCATTGGTCATGCTTGGATGGGGCTGATGGGAATTGGTCCAGAACATATGGAGGGCCCCAGCTGGAGGAAAGCTGAGGGGCACGCTGATGAGTATTTTATCACCTTCCAGATCCAGAGTCCCCTCTATGGGGTGTATTCTGGGGAATGCTCCTTCCTGGAAGATGCTTCTAAGGTGCTTCCTAAGCAGAGGGTGCTTCCTTGCAGAAATGGGGGCGCTGCACCAGGGCTGGCCCGGCGGGGGGTGGGTGTGAACGACAGAGGTGTGTGAGCCACACGCCTGCCCTGCATCGCACAAGCTTCTTTGCTGCCCTCAGTTGCGTGGAAGATGCTGTCCCTGCACAAGTGGCACAGGACAATGCAGCAGCGAGCCCAGTCAAATTCTGTGCATAGAATCATCTTGCCCTTCACCTTAGTCGGCAAAACCTGCTCGACTGGCCCCGAGCAACGCAGCAGTTTGTCCTGCCGGTTGGAAGCAGCTTGCTTAGCTTTCCGTGGGTGCAGAGTGTGTGTGTTCTACAGGGAACCAGCACCGAGCGTGGTAATCATTGCACACAGTCTGCAGGAAGCGCCATTTGCTTCCTCGCTTGCTTGTTGCTGCTCTGATGTGCCCCCAAGTCATCTCCGAGCAATGGCAACCCTACCGATGGGGGGCCCCCAAGATCTCCCGTCCCCGGCAGCCCTGCTCAGCTCCTGCAACTCCAGGCTGCGGCTTCCTTCACGGAATCGATCCGTCTCATGGCCGGGCTTCCTTTATCTCTCCTGTCTTCGACTTCCCCTGGCGAGATCGTTATGCACGACAGTGGATGAAATGGAGTGGAGGGAGACTAGGGAAGCTGCTTTGGGTTCCTCAGAAGAGGAAAGAAGGCTGATGTAAATGTGATGGTGGTGATACGATCGTCCGGCAGCTTCCCATTCTGTGCCCCATGAAAATGTGTGCGTCACAAACCGGAGAAGTTGTCCGGACATCCTGTAAAATCCCATGAAAGCTGCAGGGCAGTTGCACATTAAAGCTTCCTTAAATGCAGTGAGCTGACACACTTACTTGAAGGGAAGCGCCGTTTAACTCAGGGGGGTTTCCTTGGCAAAGTCAGGCATAGAATGGTCTGGTTTGTCCTAGTGATACTGGCCAGGCATCAATGTGAAAGATAAAATTGACCTTAGGAAACATCTTCCTTTTCATTAAAAGATTTTCCATCTTGCCTTCTCAGAGGAGAAATTCCCGATATGAACAAGATCCTGGATCGTGACGATCTGACCATCATGAAACGAGCCATATATTCAACCCAGGTTAGAGTAAAGAGTGTCTGTCGCCCCTCCCCTCCCCTCCCTCCCTCCCTCTCTCTCTCTCTCTCTTTTCTCTTTTTACTGGTCTAGTTCTGTACAGTGCAGTAAACCTATAATTCAGCTGTATCATTGGGAAGGAGAGGAATAGGTTCTGCCATAAAAATATTATTTCCAGGCAAAAAAACTGTGTGTCATGGGAAAGTGTTCTGGCAGCAAGTTTTCTGGGTGCAAGTGCCAATTTATTTCTGTCCTTTTATATGTCTAGGGCAGTGATGACAAACCTTTTAGAGACCGAGTGCCCAAGCTGCAACCCAAAACACACTTATTTATCGTAAAGTGCCAACACTACAATAAAACCTGAAACAGGTTTTAGTTTAGAAAAAGCAACTCACAGCCAGTCCAAGCATATCTACCTGTATCTATCTATCCTTGACAGCAAACTCACTGGATATGTGAAAGCTCGGACGAGTTGCAGCTACTGAATCGCGGCTAGGGACATCATCGCCTGGCACTGGGACTCTTTCCGAGCATGCACATGCCCCTGTGTGTGCTGTTATCTGATGTTCAGCGGCTGGGGAGATGCTGGGGGAACTTGGCTTGCATGCTACAAAAGAGTGCTCTGAGTACCCGCTGCGCCTCCTGTACCATAGGTTCGCCACCACTGGCCTAACCCTACCATGGTTCACTCCCCTAACCCTAATAAAGGGGTAAAATACCACTGAAAGTGGAGGTTTTGTAGCTTTTTCGGCACAGCCAGTGCTTTTTTGTAAAAAAAAAAAGGTGCTGGAATCCACGTCGCCGGCAGAAAGTGCGCGACCGCACACGCCAATCCCAAGCCAAGCAGCGGAGCAGCGTCCCAAGCTGAGAGCAGCGCCTCCACTATCTCACTATCAGATAGGAGACACAAAAGCAGCCTGCAGGCACTATGTTCCTGATGTTTGCTGCTGATCTGCTACGATGCAAAATCACTTCAAAAAATCCATTGGAAAAACAGGTGCTGCAACGCTGTTCCGCTGTGTTTTATGACAAAAAAAGCCCTGTGCACAGCTCCTCATTTCTGCCCATTCTAAAGACATTCCAACCATCAAAATCCGGCTAGCACACCTCATTTTTCTAACCCTAACCCTACCCTAGTGCACACCCCTAACCCTAATTTTGGGGTAAAGTTCCATTGAAAATAATGCGATTTTCAAAAAGCCTTCCTTGAGTAGACTTTTCTGCACTGCTCATCATTTCTGTCCATTCTAAACACATTCCAACCATCAAAATCATGCCCAGACACCTCGTTTTTCTAACCCTAACCCTACCTTGGTGCACACCCCTAACCCTAATCCAGGGGTAATGTTCCATTGAAAATAATGAGATTTTGAAAACGCCTTCTTTGAGTAGCTTTTTCTGCACTGCTCATCATTTCTGCCCATTCTAAAGACATTCCAACCATCAAAATCCTGCTATTACACCTCATTTTTCTAACCCTAACCCTATCCTGGTGCATGCCCCTAACCCTAATTTTGGGGTAAAGTTCCATTGAAAATAATGAGATTTTGAAAAAGCCTTCCTTGAGTAGCTTTTTCTGCACTGCTCATCATTTCTGCCCATTCTAAAGACATTCCAACCATCAAAATCCTGCTATTACACCTCATTTTTCTAACCCTAACCCTATCCTGGTGCATGCCCCTAACCCTAATTTTGGGGTAAAGTTCCATTGAAAATAATGAGATTTTGAAAAAGCCTTCCTTGAGTAGCTTTTTCTGCACTGCTCATCATTTCTGTCCATTCTAAACACATTCCAACCATCAAAATCATGCCCAGACACCTCATTTTTCTAACCCTAACCCTACCCTGGTGCACACCCCTAACCCTAATCCAGGAGTAATGTTCCTTTGAAAACAATGAGATTTTGAAAAAGCCTTCCTTGAGTAGCTTTTTCTGCCCAGCTCATCATTTTTGCCCATTCTAAACACATTCCAACCATCAAAATCATGCCCAGACACCTCGTTTTTCCAACCCTAACCCTACCTTGGTGCACACCCCTAACCCTAATCCAGGGGTATGGTTCCTTTGAAAACAATGAGATTTTGAAAAAGCCTTCCTTCAGAAGCTTTCTCTGCACAGCTCAGCATTTCTGCCCATTCTGAACACACTCCAACCATCAAAATCATGCCGGGACCCCTCGCTTTTCTAACCCTAATCCAGTGATGACGAACCTTTTAGACATCAAGTGTCCAAACTGCAACCGAAAACCCACTTATTTCTCGCAAAGTGCCTACACTGCCAAAACCTGAAAATTCTGGTTTTAGTTTAGAGAAAACAACTCACAGCCAGTCCAAGAAAATATATCTATGTCCCTGGCAGTGCACTGACCAGACATACGAAAGCTCGGACGAGTCGCGGCTTGTGATGTCATCGCCTGGCACCACTACTCCTTTCCGAGCAGCGCATGGCCCCTGTGTGCGCTGTCATCCAGTGCTCAGCTGCTGGGGCAATGCTGGGGCTACTTGGCTCACATTCCAGCAGAGAGGGCTCTGTATGTCCACTGTGGCACACGTGCCATAGGTTCTCTTCTACTGGTCCATGGGATGGAAAGCAATTCAGTCATAGGAAGCCATAGCTGCAATCTGACATGGTACGCTCCAGAGTCCAGACTTCGGGAAGCATCCAGTGTTGTCCTGGCACTAGTAGAAATGGTGCTGTGCCAGCATGAATCGATGCTTGTGCAATGGAAGTGGCACCATGGGAGAAACAGTTGATTTGTGAATGGAAAGAGGGGTGGGATTTTCCCCAAAACAACCAGTCATGGTTGGCCAGTGTGAAAGTCACTCAAAGGCCGATTTGAGAGCGTTCGAGTCCCCGCTCAGCCATGGAGCTCATTAGGTGACTTTGAGCCAGGCACAGACTCTCAGCCCAGCCTACCTTGCAGGGTTGTTTTTGTGGGGGAAAACTGATGATGTCAGCTGCTTTGCATTCATTGTAAGAAAAAAGCGTGAGATAAATCTAATAAATAACTAATCAAAGATTGAGGTATTGATGGCATTCTTTCTACCCACACCTCACCAAATGCTTGCTGAAATAGAAAAGGAGTTTCGCCCATTTCTTAAAAATCCTACCAAGTTAAGTAATAAATTTTTCATGGAAGAAAATTCTCTAACAAGGGGTGCTTGTACAGAGAAGACCCTGCTTCTCTTTTTAGAATGCACCCTATTGGTTACAAGTTGGCCTTTATTCGTTGTTTGCAAGAGATACACTAAACATGTGTTGTCTTGCTTCAGCGACAGAGCCTGCCTCCCGTGACAACCCACAACATGATCGATGATTCCAGTGACCCCATCCTCAGCACCATTAGACGGATCGGTCTTTTCAACAACCGGACGGATCGGGTTAAGGTAAAACACTCCCAGCTTGATGGTTTTTCCTCTTCCTCACAAAAGCAGGAAGTTCCGGCCAAGCCGGACAAGGAGAAAGCAATTCGTTATTTGTAGAGGGTGGAGGGAAAGAGATGGAGCTGCCTTCGCTCAGCCCGCCCATCCGCATTCTGCACCCTGAGCCACCCCCGGCTGTTCCCAGACCTTCTTCCCCTTTTTTCAGTGAGTCTGCCTTCCCACCACCATCATCACCGGCTCCTCTTGCACTGGGAGTGCGGTTTCCCCTTACTTGTTACAAGGAGCAGCCAGTCTCTTTGCAAAACAGCTCTTTATTTCCCATTCACAGCTGACAAACTACAGCCACTGAAAGATGAGTCTCTGCACATGAACTAAGCAAATGGTTCAACCCCAATTAGAAATGGCTTCCAAAACGTTCAGTATCCTAGGGCTCCATCCCTCTGGGCAGATCCCCTGGAGAAGACCAAGCTCCTCGGTGGACAGAGGCTCTCTCCCTGGGTCTCCTTTCTACCCTGCCATTGCATCGTGGAGTCGGGGACTGGACCAGGCCTGTCTTCCGCCTCTCCTGTTCCTTCTCCCTGCACCTCCAAACCCCACCTGTTCCCATGGTCTGCCGGAGTACCTGGAGACGGCACCCTTGAGATGACCTCGTCCTCCTCCACTACCTTGATTCCCACACTCCCCAATTCCCAGCCGTCACAGTCCTCAGACTCCAGAAGGTGCACCAAGAACAGCCGCCTCGCCCATTCCCAGCATCTTGCTCCTCACCCCTGGTTCATCTTTGCCGCCACTTGCTTGTTGGAGGGGCAGGAAGCCCATGCGCGAGCGGTCGGGGCATCTGCTGTGTAGAGAGCGGGCCCGTCTCTCGCTGATTGCGGAGATTCTGAGCAGCGGGACAAGAACTGGGTGCTTTCCAGGTCGCCTGGTGAAGTTTCCCAGGCAGAGCATGAGAATCGGTCTGTTTTGGTAGGGACAAAAGGGTGTTCAGGAGGGGAGGGGGGCAGCTGGGGGACCCAGGCCTTGACTCCGTAAGGAGACATCAGGAGAAATGAGCTGCCCGGCTGGAGGGGCTTTGCCACCCTGAGGGTGAAGCCAGAAATTTACTGAAAGGGAGGGACGGAGGAGGAGTTTTCCACTTTGGATACAACTCTTTACATGGGCAGGTGCTTCTCCCTTGCCTTTGGCAGAAGGCTGCTTAGAATCCATACAGTTCTGTAGTCTGGAAGACTGCACTTCCAAGGATTGTCTTGAGTTTTGAACCCAGAAGGAAGGAGGGGGAGGACCGACTCAAGACATGCGGTTCCCCCAACTCTGGTAGAGCAAGAAAATGGGAGGTGAACCAGAAGGATGCAACGGTGATGAGGAGGAGCGAGTCAAAAGGGCCACCTGGGGAGGAAGACCTTGGCAGGTGCTCAGTCAGGCCTAGTGTTAGCCTTGGCCCCGCACGCAACCGGGACTCGCAGTGATTCAGATAAGGGCGCGTCACTAGCACTCTTCCCTGCGCAACCTTTGACTGGAGATGCTGAGCTCTGGTCCTTCAGAATGCATGTCCAGGATCTACTCTACCCTGAGCCGTGCATGGAAATCAGGTCATGGGAGGGACCTTGGAGATCCTGCAACTACAGCATCCCAAGCAGAGAGCCTCCCAGCCATGGCTGCCATGTCTCCTGCAAAGAGTGCCCACCTCTTCCCAGGAAGCTTCTTCTATTACCAAGTGGCTCTTACTCTTAGGAGGTTTCCCCAAGGCTTGGTCAAGGTCTTCTTCCATGGGATTTCCACCCATTGGTTCTGTTCCTGCACTCTGGAGGAACAGTAGCAGCCCTTCAGAAGCATAAAGGAAAAGGTTAGGAGATCTTCCTCTTCCTTTTCTGCAGGTGATACTGCACCCCGAATTCCTTTCTTCAACTAGCCCATTATTACCCATGGACTATGAGGAGTTCGTCAGAGGTTGCCACCTTGGTGTCTTCCCATCATACTATGAGCCCTGGGGCTATACTCCTGGTAAGCAGATTACAGATTTCCTTGCTTTTATGCATTTCATCCATTTCATCACTGGGTTCTGGAGGATGTGGTGACCAGATGAGGCCATGGCTGTCTAGCTTGGATGGGTTCTTTGGAAAAGCAGTGCCACCATTCAGGGCCTATTGCTGGTTGTTGGATAGGATAGATAAGCAGAGCCTCCAGCTTCAGAGGCAGAATATCTTCTGAATGCTGGCAGTGGAGGAGAGCTGCTACCTTAGGTTCCTTGAGTGACGTGTTGGGTGGTGATGTGAAAAGAGGTCCTTCTTGGTAGCCCAGCAGCCACTCCCTGACTCCCGCCAAGGGTGGAAAGGTTCCCGTGCTCAGTACTTTCCATCAGGATCTGGGCTGCTCCAGTGGCCAGTGGCAGGACAACCACCACCACTGGCTCCATAGGATTCATCCCAGAGCTTGCAGGACCTCTCATTCACCAGGCTTGTAATAGTCATGCTCGTAAGTCCATGCAAAAATGAATCTCTTAGCAAAAATTGACCCAAAAACCCATGTGAATGTTCACACAGATTTCAAAAATATAGATTTCCATTGACAAATGGATGCAGAAACTCAGGAGAATCCACCTGCACTTGGTGAAATGTAGGTGTTATGGAAAGTGAAGCTGAGTGGCTTGTCCGTCTTGATGCAGGACCGGATGCTGGACAGAGGTTGTCTCCAGCACCAGCATGGTTTGCACATCTCTTGCAAGGTCCCAGCACCCTCTTTGTTTGTTTTTTGGCAGCCGAGTGCACCGTCATGGGGATTCCCAGTGTGACCACAAACCTCTCAGGATTTGGCTGCTTCATGCAGGAACATGTAGCTGACCCAGCCGCTTACGGTGAGAGCTTTTAGCCCCGAAACTGGTCACTGCTGCTTTGTTTCGCCAGAGACACGCAAATCCCTTGGTTTCATGGAAAATTGTACCTTAACACTTGGTGAGGACTTGCCCGAGTCTCGTATGGGAAGTTTGGAAAAGTTTCTGCATAAATTCCAGCAGAAACAAAGATCAGGAAATGCCACACAGTTCTGCCTAATCCTTTCAGTTTATGTGGGTCTTCCGGACAAATTAAGGAATGGCCCTTCTGCATTTAAAATAACTTTATCTGCCTGGCAAGCAGATCACACCCATCTGGTCAAGAAGCTTTCCTGCCAGGGCATGAGAGTTGTTGGCCAAAACATCTGGAGGGATGCTGCTGCTGCTAAACACTTCTCAGAGTTTTACTTTAGTTGGAAAAAAAGAAGAAGGAGAATGTTGGTAGACTAAAGCAAGTACGACTATCTCCACTTTATCAGAGAAGGAATTCTGTACGGATTGTTCGTGTGTGCAATGACAGTTTGCAAGAGAAGCCTTTAAAGGTCAAAAAGTGTCTACATCTCCTTGTCTCCAGCAAACCTGCTTTTTATCCTGCAGGTATTTACATCGTGGATAGGAGATTCCGCTCCCCAGATGAGTCTTGCAACCAGCTGACGCAGTTCCTTTATGGATTCTGCCAGCAATCACGACGACAACGAATCATCCAGAGAAACCGAACGGAGAGGCTCTCAGACCTGCTGGATTGGAGATATCTAGGAAGGGTACAATCAATTACCTATTGTCCCTTCAAGATTACCAATGGTTTCATTATCATTGTCATTATTCACTGAGCAACCTAAGGGAATATCTATGCAGCATATAGTAGTCTTTTCTAAATAACTGCTTTTCCATTTAAATGAAGATTTATGCTAATTTGTTTATTTATTACATTTATATACCAACCCAAAAGGGGGAAAACAGGATCTGGGCTGCTCCGGTGGCCAGCGCTTGGGATGGTTTGCCATCCTAAAATGCTCAAATGATTAAGATCACAATATAAATACCATCATGCTAAAATATGAAAAATATTAAGTCAATAATCAGAGCAATAGATTATGGCTGAAATGGCTGCTGGATGAGGAAGTCCTATAATCTATACAGTGAAACAGCAACAAATTTCCCTGGAAAGTGCATCCGGAAGGACTTCCTGTGGATGCAAAGCCAGTAGGAGGTCCATGAACACTCACGGAATCCCAGTTGGACCCTTCCTTCCTTCCTTCCTTCCTTCCTTCCTTCCTTCCTTCCTTCCTAGCCAAAGCTCTCTGAGAAGATCTTCTGAGTCACACAAAGTAGAACTGCTCAGAAGTTGCAGGGGGCTTGATTCCCATCAAGCACTGCATGAACACTTGGCATGTCCCCCAGGAAGCTTAATTCATGGCTACAAGAAAGTGGTCTGGAGTCCAGGGAACCTAGCCTTGCCCAGGGAATCTGGTGGATTCCAATGCCCAGAATGGATTCCTCACACATCCCTAGCACAAATGCAGAACTCTACCTCCCTTCCAGCCTCTGGCTGCTTGGACAACAGCATCCCTTCTTACCTATCAGTGCCCAGCCTTGGAAGCTAAGCAAGGTCAGTCCTGGTTATAATCTGGATGGGAGACTTTGGTCCTGCATTGAGCTGGGGTGGGGTCCAGTGGCCTTCCAGGCCTTTTTTGAGCAGAGCTGGCTGGAGCTGGGGGTCAGACTAGATGACCGAGGAAACTTCTTCTGACTCACTCTGTTTCTATGTTTCTTTTTCTCTGAATTCCTTGCAAGAGGGGTTGAGATTGTACAAGGTCAGTCATTAAACCTGTTGCTTGCAACTTCAAAAACAGACAACTGTTAATGGTAGGGCAGCCAGCAGCTGCAAAACTTGGTCAAGGGATGGCATTCAGCTTGGCAGGTCACAACTGAGCAAGTCTGCTAAAAGCTCTCTTATCACAAACCGAAAATTCTTGTGTTTATTGTCTGGGAGATGTTTCTTCTATAGGCCGTCTGACTTGCAGCTCTCTCCTTCTCTCCTCTTGCAGTTTTATATGCATGCCAGGCATTTGGCTCTCAGTCGGACATTTCCCGAAAAGTTTGAGGTTGAACCAAATGCTCCGCCAAAGGTAACTTTGCTTGGCTGCAGACTTCAAACTCACCTCCCCCGATGGCCCAAGGGGCTTAGCCTTCCTGTTGTGCCACGGCTGTGCCATTCCACCTGCTGCCTGTCCCCTGCCTCTCACACATCCTCCGTTGCGTGCCCGGAAGGTCAGTCGGCAGAGCTGGAAATCAGGGCTGGCCGCCTGCCAAGGGTCCACACCCCAGCCAGGGCACACCGGCAAGAGCCCATGGAGCCGCTCCCTTTCTCTGGTGTTACCAGCTGCTTCTTGACCTGCCTGATCCAGACAAGAGTGGGGGCACGAGGGCAGAGCAGAAGGTGTGATGACCAACTCGCTTGCCACCTTCCTCGCCTGCCAAGCGAGCAAGCAGCAGCAAAGAGGAGGAGGAGGAGCAGGTGGTGAGAAGGTGGACTCCGTGGGGGGCACTGAGGATGGCCCGCCCAACAGCCCTCAGGGACCTGGAGGTGGCATTGTTTAAAACCTCTGTGGGTTGCTGCACCTGCAGCTTTCCTCTGCAGTATCCACCTCTCATTTCAGGGGACAGGGCTTTGTTTAGAAGCCCACGTCCCACTTACCAAGAAGCCCTCAGCCGCTTCTCTTGGCCACCGGTGCCTGAACCCACGTCTGGTGGACTTTCCTTCTCCTGGCTTCTGCTCCTGGGGTGGCAGTGCAGAATACCTGCGTCCTTCCAGGGTCTTGATCCCTGAGCGGCAGGGCCAGCTACAGCTTTTGCGGTGCTTTGGGTGGATGGAGCTAGCCCGTGTTCCTTCGCCCGCTGCCCTTTTCAGTTTTGCTGGACTTGAGTGTCCACCATCACCAGGCCTGGAATTCCAGGGGTCAAAAATGTAGAAAGCAGGTAAGCTGGGGAAGGCTGGACTAGAAGGACCCTACGTCTGTCATCAGCCCATGTCAGGGGCTGGTAGGCCATCATCCGGAGCCTTCGCTCCTTTGTGCATCTGTCACTGTGTGGAGACATCAGCAGGGCAACTTGGAACACTTCTGTGCCAGTGGCATATTCTGAGCCTTCAGAACGTGGGTCCAGAACCTCTTCCAGCCAGGGGGCCAAATTCCTGTGCGGAGAAGCTCTCCGGAGCTTCATGCCCATGTTGGGCAGGAGGCCAAACTTAAGGTTCATTTTGTGTTCCTCTTGCAGACGGAAGGATTCCGGTACCCGCGTCCTTCATCAGTACCCCCCTCGCCCTCCGTTTCTCAGCACAACAGCCCCCACCAAAGTGACGAGGAGGCTGAGGATGAAGATGAACGGTACGATGAAGAGGAAGAGGCTGAGAGGGACAGGCAGAACATAAAGTCTCCATTCTCCCTCAGCGTTATGCCCCATGGGAAAAAGAAGCAACATGGAGAATACAGGAACTGATGGCTTATCCCTTGCTTGGATGGCACCCTTTCCATTGCGTTCATGTCACCTTAAAGGTCAAGGGGATGCAAGCTGACATAAAGGGAATATAAATGAATGTGATGTAAGCGAAGCTTCTGAGATATTTCGAATTCCTTCCCCTACTGCCACTTATACATAGTTCTGATGCTATGTTTTCCCTTCCTGCTCCTGTTTTCAAAGGAAAAATAAGGAACGTAGAAGAAGATATTAAACCTGAGGGCTGCGTGCTGGCTTTCACATTTGTGGCCCTGGTATCTTGTCCCTGGAGAAAGAGGAAGGACGGAGTGTGGTGTGACCTGCAGACTAATAGGAGAAGAAAACCGGTGTTGCTAGAGTTGCTGCTAAGCCAGTCCTAGTCATGAAAATTAAATCGAGCTCATATTCTGCAAGAACTCAGATGCTCCTGCCTGCCTCTGTAAAAAGTTGTTTTTCCAGTAGTCCAAGACTGGGTCCAGCTTTTTTAGGATGCTGGCTGGTATTATCGGGAGGACCAGATAGGACAATTTCTAGAATTACCATTAGTGGGTACACTGGGCTACATTTCAACTTTCTGCCTGTTCTGAAAACCCTTTAACCATTTTGATTTCCCATCAGGGAAGTGCAACCCTCTTGATAGATTTCTAATTTGGTGTTTCAAATTAGATATTTGGTTGCAGGATTAGATCCACTTCTAGAAATACATTACCCCGCTGCCACGGTTTCCCTAAAGTCATATCGATCAGACATAGCCAATGTCCTCCTGCAGCCTTTTAAAGACAGAATATTAATACCTAGCTAAAATGAAACAAAATGAAAAGATAAGCTGATGATATGAAAAGCAAATATCAAAGCCAGCACACAGCTTTCTTGAGCATAAAGCATAGGCACTGGTCGCCTACCACCATTCCTCATGTTGTAGATTAAAACTAAATATGTTTAAGTAACGAGACAAAAAGTGAATGTATTCATTATAGGCTCTTAGAAGAGACATCCTTTTCAGGAATGAACTGTTCTCTGGCCATCCTGTAATTTCAACTATCATTTCTCCCTCCAGGCTAAGTTAAGGGGGGGAAAGGAGATCCATTGCATCATGGATGCAGAACTGCTTTCAGCCTGACAGCCAAATTCCATTTCAGAGAAGGGTTTGGGAGCTCTATTCCAGTTGTGGGTGGCAAAAGGGGGCAAGACCAAAGGAAAGGGAGCTGGGAAAAGCACCAGGATTGCCAGCAAATTTTAGCTTAAAGCTCTTCCTGCCAGCAAAGCAAGTAAGTCTTAAAAGGAGAGGCATTGAACCCTTCAGAATTGGGTGGAGAGGAGAATGGAACAGAGGCCAAGAAACAAGGATACGACTAGTGGTTGGAGGAAACAGAGTAGGCCTGTCTGATGTTCTGCATCCTTGTGTTAGGTAGGCTCGCCATGCATTCCTATACATGTCTACTCAGAAGTAAACCCTACTGTTTTCACATTAACAGTTGCTTGTGTATAGAACTGCAGGTTGAATTTTATAACAGTCATTAAGACACTGGTTTGCAAAAATCTAAACTATTGTATCTGAAATTCTCAGCCTGAGATTATTTATTCTGCTGATCAAGAATTCTTCAACTAAGAGCCTGACCCTTCATTCTGTAACACACACACATTTCCACTCACTCACTCAGTCACTCAATCACTCACTCACTCACTCACACAACCTTCTCTAAAAATGGCTGATATTTATTTTGAAAGTTAAAGTTTAATTTTTTGCCGTTTTTCCATTTGCCTCTCTCAAAATTTGAGAATTCACTTCGAAGAAGACTATTTCCCCCTATCTGAGTACCTGCGATTCACATGCTAGGATCTTTTTCTCCTTACCTCTGTTTTCCTACAACCTTTGGTGTGCAAAGTGTCACAGGTGGGAACATAGGAAGCTGGGCCCATAGGACATTAAGCCCGGTGCTGCCAGCATAGGCTGGCAGCAGCCATTCTCTGTGACCTGAGGTAGGAACTTTTTCTTCCTTACCTGGAGATGCCACGCCTCATACCCCAGACCATCTGCGTTCCAAGCATGTACGCAAGGTGAAGGCCTGCGAAACTGCCCACTCGAGTTTCAGCTCCTTAGCTTGCTTACTCATCAGCTGACATGACTTCAAGCACTTGTCTCCATCCCACACAAGATGACTGCTTAGTACCCCATGGTAAAATCCATGAGATGCATGTGCCAGGAATTCCTCAGAGCAATCATGGTAGGAGTGGACATGCTACCTGTAGGACAGAAGGCTTTTCTCTTTTCCCTCAGGTGTTTTTTTCAGTGCATTTTGATGTCGAGGAAATACAATTTGTCAACTGTGGTAATGCAACCTCGAGGAAAGGCCTGACATTTTGTGATGTGCAGATGAACTCAAAAAAGGGTTGTGAAGGATCATGCCAAAGGCGTCTCGAGTCCAGCATTTTCTTTGCACCATGGCCAACCGATTGCCTCTAGGAAGTCCGCAAGCAGGTCGTGAAAAGGGGGCATACACAAGACATGAAGGAATTCAAATAATTCCCATGAAAAATGTAGATGTAGAAATGCCCAACTAACTGATTAGTTAGTTCCTTTGAACTAAAAGCTGGGGAAATGCCAAATGGTCGGTGGTGCTGAGTTTTCCCACCCCTAGTCTAGGGACTACCCTAGTTGTATTTTAACCTTTAACCTCTCAGGTTCATCTATAAAAGAGCAGGGAGAGAATTTCTTTTAAAAGAGAAGGAAGAAATGCGAGGGATTGGAGCAAGCCCCACATCTTGTCTTGTCTCCCTACAACTCCCTTCACTATGGGCCATACTGGATGGGGCTGAGGAAGTCCAAAACATCTGGAAGGAATGTGCAGGTACATTTGTTTTGGCCTTTAGAAGGGTTTAAAACAATCGCAACCCCATGTCAAATCTGAGTGAAGGCTTTTGAACTGTTTTGAGCTATACTTGATTATTCTGGTTAGGGTGGAATGCAAGACCAAGGAAATGGATGCTGTTTTCCCCAAACTTTTATTAAACTATTGACCAATGGAGGGTGTAACTCTAAAGTGTTTATTTAAGTGTAATAATAGTTTCCCCCTGGTCTGGTGGCACTAGTACAACTCAAGCTTTATCAGAACTGATAATCACAAGAGCTGCAGATTAAGAAAGACAAAAGGAAAAGATAGCTGTACAGGTGCATCAGTCATATTGAATGGAAATGCAGAGTAAAAGGCAATGGAAAAAGAACCAAAACAAAACAGAGTAATCATGGATTTCAGTGCACAGAATCCAGTCAGTGCTGGAGACGTAACATTAGCAAGGACGTGCTTGTTGACTGCAGCTGAAACACAAGGTCCCTTAACTCTTTTCCAAAACTTGACTGGCAATATTGGACAGGAAGAAGTACCACCCAGCGACTCCCAAATTATCAAAGGGAAGAGCCAACCTGAGTTCAAGAGACACCACTGTGAGAAAAACCTGCTGGTGCTCGTAGTGGCAGCTGGTAGCCAGGAAACCCTTTTCCACAGCACCTCCATCTCGTTCCTGTCCATGCATTCATTGCTCAAAGAGAGAACAGTCCAATGCCTCGTTATTTCTGGCCAGAACGGACAAGAAGATGCTGCTCCAAGTTCTTCTTCTTTGTTCTCTTTGGCATCAGCTACTCTAAGCAGCATTTTGACAGATGGGAAATCAGCCAACCCAACCAGAAAGAAGGAAGGAAAAGACCTGGAGCATAAATTGCACCCAGTTGCTTCTCCAGCAGACTTAGAGGAGAGCAGGATGTTCTCCTAACCTGGAACATGAGCTTCAGGTTAAGGTTATCTCCAGGAATGGATCCCTTTAGGGAACTAGCAACCATCATAATTGTTGGCAGACATCTTTTCCAGTAGTTTACATCAAGAGTACACATATGAAGCACCCCTTTAGGTACAGCTTATGGTGCTTATCCTCTCAGCTAGGCAGAAGGTAATTTAAACTTCCAATAAATGTATGCATGCTTACTCAGAGTTATGCATCCTCTAAGATGAGAGCTTCCAAATGTGCACCAAAGAAGACCAGATTCAGAATGCAGAACAAATTACACACATAATTAGCAGTTTCGTGTTTGTTTTCTTGGTGCATAGAAGACTTGCAAACAGCAGACTGTTCTGATCAGGTATATAGTATGTGGGGGTGGGTAGGTTGAGGGTCCTATTTAAACACCAAATGGTATTCGGCTTGGTTTGCTCCCTGCTCTTGGTACCAGCATGTTTTTCAGTTTGCTTCAGAAGTGTTTGAAAATGACCATTTGAATGGAAAAGCGTTTTGCTGCATGTATCCCTTAAAAACACAAAAATAAACTTTTGAGAAAAATGTGGATTTCACAGTGCATATTTTTGGAACGCAGTTATGAATTCAGGAATGTGTGAGCATTCTCCAAAAAACTGGGCTCTTGTACATATTTAGGGTTGAGGGCAGGCCAAGGTTGGAGAGCCTGAGAAGTGGAATGGAATTCTTGTACACTTCTAGCAAACAGAGTATGTGGCTGATGGGAACGAAACATTTCCCCTCATCAGCCACTTAGCTCCTGTTAGCTTCCCCAACACAAAAGCTCCCTCCATCACCTGATCTTCCATCTAGTCTTGGAAAAAGGTTAGTGCAGCATGTGTGGAAAAGTGCGTGATGACCACGGAGACAAAGAACAGGTGTAGGGACAGAAACATTGCAACCGCTAAACACCAGCAGCAATTTCAAGTGTCTTCGATGCCTGGCTTTGGTGCTGCTTAGACATCTGTGAGCAGACGCTTGGGTTGCCGTCCTGAATGTGCTAAGGAACAAGCATTACTGCACACGGTGCCCCAAGCCGCAACTAACACTGAGCCCGGTTCACCCACCACAGTCGCCCTGGCTAGTCATCAATGAGCAGGAGCAAGAAAGCGTTTTGGGAAGTGCCTTAAAGAGAGCCAGAATCTTGGCGCATCTAAGCCCAAGCTTGTTGACACTGATCGGCAGCAGAGCCAGTCTGGTGTCATAGTTAGGCATGTGAAACCGGAATTCAGGAAAATCTAGGTTCTAGTCCTCATTCAGCCACAGAGCGCACTGGGTGATTTGGGGCCAGACTCTCAGACCAACCTACCTCACAGGGTTGTTGTTGTACAAAAAATGGAGAGAAGAGCACTATGTAAGCTGCCTTGAGTTCCTTGGAAGAAAACTGTGGGATATAAATATAAGAAAGAAAGAAATAGATTTCTTCAAGGTTGCAGGCAGGCCTCTTTCCTTTCCCTGCCTGAAGCTGCTGGGGACCAAGCTTGGTATTTACTCTGCCCGTGTATGTGGAACTCTGGGCCACTGCGGAAGAGGCCCATGTTCAGAATCAAGAGAAACAATCCAGGGATGGAATATTTCTGGGTTGTTTTGTTCCTCCCATTTATGGTAGGAGAGACTGGAGGCCAGGAACCACTCAGGAGCACTCTGCATTTCTGCAGCTGTCGACTCTGAAACTAGAGCTCCCAGCAAGACCAGTCTGAAAACAGAACTACACTGAAGGATGGTAAAAAGGAGGCAGAGAAACAAACCATGGTTTCTTTGCTTGTCTGCAAGGAAATCCATGGCAATCAGGCATGGGTTCACATAAACCATGTCTTAGTATTACTTGTGAAGCCAACCCATGGACGAGCTAAGTAAGCATGCAGACGGCCGTGTAGTTCCTGTGGTTTAAATCCTTCTGCTTTTTCTGAAAAAAACAAAGCAGCAAGACCTGATGATCTAAGATAGATCTATAGGTCAAATAGATCTAAGTGTATCACCTTTTTCACTACTAATGAGATATATTTATAGTACGGAGTGCAACTAGATAGGGAGGGTGTCTGGGAATTATAATGAGCCCACAATGTTGATTTGTTGGCAGCATATCCTCCTGCAGCCCAATGCTTCCTGAAAATACGAATAAAGAGCAACGCTGAACCGTGGCCACCGCCTCATTTTCACTGCTGCGTTAAACTTCCTGTATTATGTTGCTAAATTAGAGTTTCCACCCTGCTGTGGTCATGTAGAGAGACATCAGTTCAAGAGACCTTCTCTCACCCCAGGAAAGCTTGGGACTTGTAAGTTCCTAAGAGGGACATGGATCTCTGAGTGCCCGCACCAAACTCCACATCCCATCATTCTTGGGAGGAGCCATGGCAATTAAAGTTGAATAAAGTACCACCATGGGAGATACTTGAGAGTTTCCAGAACTGGAAACTTGGACGCATGGCAGGACTGGGACGTGATGGCAGCGATCTTCACCATCACCACCCCTCACAGCCTTCATTTTCTCTAGGCGGCTGCTTTGGACAGTCTAGATTCCGAGGACGGGAAGGGAAGGAACCAGGAGCTCCAACTGGAATCAGCCAGAGTCTGCAGCCCCTGTCTCCTCCCTGCCCCACCTCCACCCCAGCATGCCCCAGTTGCAACTGGGGGGTGGGGGCACATTTCTTTCTGCACAAGCTGCAAGGGAATGTCGGGGCGGGGGCTCAGCCTTCCGAATTCCATGCTCCCCAGAAAAGCCTGTGACAGTAATCTCAGGCCTTAAATCTGGTGTCTATGTATTGTGTGCCAGCTAGAATTAAACCACCCAGAGGTGGATGGTATATAACAATCCATTTTTTTAAATAAAAATTTCTCCTAGAGGCAGATGAAACTGGAAAACTGACATTTTCAATCCTCATTGTTTCAGAAACAGCTTTCTTACACAGGTGTGTCTTTGCAAAGCCACTGGGAATCGTAAAACTTTAAAGCTTGTCACCATTATCATTGCACATAAAAATCAATTCCCAAGCTGGAAAATGGCTTTTAATTGTTTAGTGTTGAACTGAAAGCACAGGTGATGTTAGAAAGGCAGAGGGCAGCTGAGCAAGGAAGAGTAAACAGATGGATGGGAAATGTCTTCTCCTATAGATGGTGTTTTCTTTTCGAGTGCCTGACATGGGAATTTTTCACCTAAGCTCGAAGATCTTTCACCAGTTTAACAGGCCATCAGCAACATATCCAGGTTTCTCGTTAGCTTCTTCTTCATCTGCTAAAATAAAAGAAGAGGATGTGTTTGTGATAGTTGTAGCATAAGCTGGGAAAGGCTTGGCATCTTACACACACACAGAGAGAGAGAGAGAGAGGCATCTGCCCCTTCCATTCTAACATAGTTGGCATGACTGGTCACAATGCTGGCTTCACATTTGGGGGGGGGGTCTTGAGCAAAACACCCCCCAGTAGGCCTCTTCCATCATCAAGTCTGCCTTCGCAGCACCATGGCTTCCTTTCTCCTTTCTCACCATTGCTGGCTGGCTGGCTGGCTTGACAGAGAACTCATCAGCAGGCAGATGGTGGCATTTGCCGCTGCCCCTTGGCTCTCTCTCACCACCACCTGTAGGGATTGGGTCTGCTTCTCTCAAAATACAGCTTTCCAAGCTAGGGAGTCCAGCCTCAGAAAGCGAGCTTGATAGAGAAGAGGAGCAGTTGGAATGAGGTGCTGAAATGATGGGGTTGACAAACAAGATTAGCCATGTGGCTGGTGAGAACTGCCTCTGGTTTTAGGGGGAGGCGCTACAGCACAAGGAGGAGGGGGGCTGTGAGTTCATCAACTCAGTGAGTCATTGTCAAGCCAAACAAGAGGACCACTTAAATAACGCCTGGCATCCCCACCATCTGGCTTTCAAGCAGCATGAACCTCCTTGAGGATGAAGCAATGCTTTTTGGGGAAGGAAGGGAGGAGGGAGGCTTCTGGTTTGGAATCAGCTTCTAACATGGACAGAAGCTTCTTCCCTAAACCAGAGGGAATGTTACTTTGATTTATGCTGCTTCTGAACAGCTTCGATATCTCTCACTCTGCATAGCACAAACCAGTCTAGCTCAAAGAAAGGTTTTACAAGCCTTTCATCTTGAAGGGAAGGAGGAACAAGGAAAGATGTCCTCACGGTGCTAACATTGTCTGAGCCAGAGCAAGATGCAAGCTACAGTGAGGAAGGGGAGGAGAAAATCCAGGGTGTTCTTGTCAGTGAGCTCCTGCTGGGCTGTGGGCCATCATCAGCTGCCCAGCTATGCCTACTCTTGGTGCTGTCCCCAGGACGGTGGATAATGCAGCTGACGGAGAGCCTCTCATACCTCATCATAGAATCATGGAGCTGGAAGCAGCTATGGAGGCCATCAAGTCCACCCAAACTGGGAAGTATTTCTGATTGTGGAGTGGATTCTAAGCATGTTCAGCTTCCAGATCTTCATGTACAAGGTGAAAAGGGTCAAGAATGGAGACAACACACATAGGGATGCAGGAAATGGAGTCAAGCATCCCAAACATGACTGGCTTGGCGGGCCCATGTGGAATTTTGGGAGGCTGTCATGGGCTGTCACATGTCTGCTGTAAGGGGCTTGCCCATTGATGACTTGGCTTCCACAACCAGTTATACAACATTCATTTCCAAGAAGGTGAACTGGTGAGAAGAAGAGAGATGTTACTTGCTCAAGAACATAAGGATAAGGGAATGTTGGTGACTGCGCTCCAAGGCAGATCTCTGCTTTGCCACAGACCAACCTCTGGTCAAAAAATAATGTATCAAATCTTAAGAAATAGAATTCCAGTCCAAAGAGACAGGGAGCCTGGGGATCTGTGGGCACATGAGTGCACCAAATTGCAGACCAAATTGCAGGGTTAGGGTCTTGAGCAGCATGCCAGCTTCCAATTTCAAAACGAGAAGAGGAATTAACCTTAAGGAACCTCATTAACCATGTGATGTGCAGGGAGGGTGTTGAGGAACATGGATTCACTTGATGTGCACTTGATCAGGTCGGGCAACAACGCCTGAATAAGATGTCTAAGAAATTCTTGATGGCTCTGCAGTGGCTCTCATCCAGCATTCTACAACACAAGACTTCTGAGATACTTGGGATTATCCCTCCAAAGCTCCATCAACATAGCCAGAAGTCAGGAATTCTGGAAGTTGCAGTCCAAAACATGTGGAGGTACCAGACTGGGGGCAAAGGGGGTTGCTTGAATCAATGCAATCAGTGAGACCAAAACTATATTACAAATAAAATAAATGTAATGAAATGACCTCTGGTTTTGCATTCACGGTTCATTACAAACTGGGGCCAAATGAGTCTTTACCTTCATCTTGTGCTTTTCTCAGGGAGGAAAGAAACAATGCTGCAGCTTCAGAAAGGGTCAAGGGGTTCATATTTTGGCTGCGTGTTTCTGCAAAGAAAGGTAGGGGATACTCAAACATATTTTTTCTGATTGTAAACACCAGGAAGGTGCTTGGTTAACCTTCGAAGAAAGATTAGCTAACTAGAACAATAATGAAGTTAGTTTGTGTTTGCAACAGAAAGGCAGCCATTGAAAAGCATGAAAAAGATCCGTCTGTACTACATTAACTTTCAACATGATAAGCTATAAAATACTTCTTGGGTATGTTATTCTGGATCTGGGTGCGGGAGAACTTTGTCCTCTCACAGAGCACACTATTATGTTTTTATGATTATGACGATGAATTTCATTCATATACCACGCTGAAGAGCTAAAGCTTTCTGGGCTGCTAACCACAATTCATAAGAAACAATAAAAGTACAGATACAATAAAAACAGTATAAAGTTCAATACAACATTTAAAAAAAGGATTTCAAAACCATTTCAGGGGTTGAACACATTCAAAATATTCAATGTACTGCAGACAGAAACCTCCTACCCCAAATGTCATTTTAAAAACTTTTAAATGTAATTAAATGCATCTTCACTGCCCTTTCTTAGCAGTTCTGCAATCAATCACTGCAACCCACAGTAAGATTATTCTCCTTGATTTGATGGACATGAGAGCCCATCAGAGGTAAGTGCAACTCTATAGCAATCCATGGGTTCTTGGCATGGCTTGTTCCTGAAAAATTAAGCCACACTGCAGAAAATGCTCTGAGTTTGGACAACACAACAAGGCACCATGGCTCGCTGTCCGGGGTAGGTTGCTGGGTCATGAGAAACAGATTGCTGCTTCCGATGTCTGAGATAGGACTCACAGCCCCTGAAAGCCTCCTCCTCCTCCCTTAAAGGCAGACAGGTGCTATCCAGAGAAAGAGGTCTCTTTCTTCCAGAAGATGTCCTAAGCTGCTTTCCTTGGATCCAGTGTGCCAACTCTTTTTGTATCCGTTTAATAGGAAGATTGAAATGTTTTTACTTTTGTCCTAGATGGAGAACTACCTGGGGCTTTGGGAATGGCTTCTTGTATCTTTGCTAAAATTGGTGTTCATCTCCATCCCTTTCACGCATGCAACTACTTACCCAGCTGCAACCTGTCAAAGAGATCCTTCCTCTGACTCTCCTCTGAGACGAACCGACGACCCTCTGAAACGCAACGATACAGAAGCTGAAGCGCTTGCCTGGGAGCCATGTCTACAGCCTCAGAGAACACAGGAAGTGTTTTCACACCCGGGGCTTTCAAATCCAGTCTGTGAGGCTAACTCAAAATGTATATAGGAGTTGAAGAACCTGCTTTATAGACCACACGTCCTTCCAAACCAGTTTGCTAAGCAAGGGTTTTGTATGAGCAAAAGGAGGATCCCCAGTGAGAAGGTTGCGTTGCCAAAATAAAATAAAATAAAATAATAAAATAAAATAAAAGGCTTGTGTTGACACTTACGTGCACCCTTTAAATAGAGCATCGCTTGAGGAGTCCAGTTTCTTCTTTGGAAGTGACCCTTCGGTACCCAAAATGAGAAGAAAAACAACAATGGATTCAGCGTGAGAGCGCTGCGCAGAGGGAACGGTGCGGCTCTGTCTGCACAAAGATGGCTTTCAGAGCCAAAAGAGAAGGCTGCGCTGCACCACCCTTTTAATTTCCCACCATGTTTCAGTATGACTCGATGAAAGTGGTATGTTGAAAGAATGGCTCAACCCGGCTCCTCAGCATAAATGTGCTTCTAGAGGCTACGGAGGGTGGCCAGGTATCCTTAGGTAGAGAGAGCAGTCTTCTGATTGGGGAAGCTGCCAGAGGGCAACCCTTGCTCTGGATGGGCTCTGCTGGAAGAATGGCAAGGAGGCGATTAAGGTTCAACAGCAGTACAATGAACCTTTCCAGGTTCCAAAAGGTGGGATAGATTCTCCAGGCCATGCCAAGGACTTACAGCCTTCGACTTGCTAGGATGAGCACCTGATCTACCTCCATTGCCTTGGGACTCCCTTTCCCAATCATTTTGCTCCCAGCCAGAAGGTGCCAGGGAGTCTTGTCAGTCGCCCCTCGGGCCTGACGGTGCTGTTGTTTAATGCCAGGTCGGCCAATAACAAATCTGCCCTCATCCATGACTTGATTGTGGATGAGGGGGCCGACCTGGCCTGTATAACGGAGACCTGGGCGGGAGAGGGGGGGGATGTTGCCCTCTCTCAATTGTGCCCGCCCGGGTATATGGTCCAGCACTGTTCACGGCCGGAGGGGAGGGGAGGGGGGGTCGCTTTGGTTTACCGGGCCTCCATCACTCTCACGGGACTTCCTGTCCCTTCGAGACCAGGGCTGGAGTGTCTCTACTTGGTGTTGGGCGACCGAGACAGATTGGGGATTCTGTTGGTGTACCGTGCACCCTTCTGCCCAACAGTCTCCCTGCCTGAGCTGACGGAAACGGTCTCGGACCTGGTGTTGAGGACCCCCAGGATGCTGGTCCTGGGGGACTTCAATATCCATGCCGAGGCTAGTTTGACCGGGGCGGCTCAGGACTTCATGGCTTCCATGACGGCCATGGGGCTGTCTCAACATGTCACCGGCCCGACCCATGAACGTGGACACACTCTGGACCTGGTTTTCTCGACGGGGCAGGAAGAGGGTGGTCTGAGGGTGAGGAATTTATGCTTGACTCCCCTGTCATGGTCAGATCACTTCCTAGTGAGGTTTGTGCTCGAGAGCGACATCTCCCTCTGCAAGGGTGCAGACCCGATTGTGTGGGTCCGCCCCCGGAGCCGGATGGATCCAGAAGGATTCCTGAAGGCTCTGGGGGAGTTTCCGGCTGACAAGACGGGTGCTCCTGTCGAGGCTCTGGTTGAACTGTGGAATGGGGAGATGACCAGGGCTGTAGACACGATCGCTCCTAAGCGTCCTCTCCCATCGGGCAGAGCCCGCTCTTCCCCTTGGTACACTCCAGAATTGAGGGCAATGAAGCAGGTTGGGAGACGGCTAGAGCGTAGGTGGAGGAAATCACGTGATGAATCTGACCGAACACACTTAAGAGCCCACTATCGGGCCTATGCTGTGGCGGTGAGGGCGGCGAAAAAGAGACACTTCTCCGCTTCCATTGCCTCCTCACAATGCCGTCCGGCGGAGCTCTTTCGAGTGGTGCAAGGCCTGGTTCACCCAGGGCCAAAGGAAGAGCTGATTCCACCCTCAAAGGCCCGCTGTGACGACTTTGCCGAGCATTTTAGGGAGAAAATCGCTCAGATTCGTCACGAGCTGGATTCCACTATTGATTCAGAGGTTTTAAGGGAGACACCAACGCTACCGTCTGGTCCAGAATTATTGGATGAATTTCAGTTATTGCGGCCCGATGATGTGGACAAGGTGCTTGGACGAGTACGTCCTACCACTTGCCTTCTGGACCCTTGCCCGTCTTGGTTAATAAAGGATTCCAAGCACGGGATTGGAACCTGGATCTTGGAAGTGGTTAACGCTTCTCTGAGGGAGGGTCGGGTGCCTGCTCCTTTAAAGGAGGCGGTAGTCCGACCGGTCCTGAAGAAGGCGTCACTGGATCCAGGGATGGCCGCTAACTATAGACCAGTGGCCAACATCCCGTTTCTGGGCAAGGTGTTAGAGCGAGTGGTGGCGGGACAACTCCAAGCACTCTTGGATGAAACTGATTATCTGGACCCATTTCAGTCCGGCTTCAGACCCGGGTACGGTACTGAATCTGCCTTGGTCGCCCTGTACGATGACCTGTGCAGGGAGAAGGACAGGGGGAGTGCGTCCCTGTTGGTTCTCCTGGACCTCTCAGCGGCTTTCGATACCATCGACCATGGTATCCTTCTGGATAGGCTGGCGGGATTGGGGGTCGGAGGCACCGCTTTGCGGTGGTTCCGCTCCTATCTCAACGACCGATTCCAGAAGGTGGTGTTGGGGGACTATGGCTCTGCGCCATGGCAGCTTTGCCATGGGGTACCGCAGGGTTCCATTTTGTCCCCTTTACTGTTCAATATCTACATGAAACCGCTGGGAGAGGTCATCAGGAGGTGTGGGCTGCGGACCCATCAGTATGCTGATGATACCCAGCTCTACCTCTCGTTTTCCACCAATCCAGGTGAGGCAGTGGCTGTACTGAACCGGTGCCTGGCCGAGGTAATGGGCTGGATGAGGGCCAATAAACTGAAGCTCAATCCAGACAAGACGGAGGTCCTGTTGGTTGGCGGTTCGGGCTTCAGAGAAGGTGACCTGAACCTTGTCCTGAATGGGGTTGCACTCCCTCCTAGGGACAAGGTCCGCAGCTTGGGAGTGCTCCTCGACCCGGAGCTTTCACTTGAAGCTCAGGTGACAACAGCGGCGAGGAGCGCTTTCCTCCAGCTTCGGCTGATTCATCAGCTGCGCCCCTACCTGGAGTACGACTGCCTTGCAACAGTGACTCATGCGCTGGTGACTTCCCGTCTTGACTTCTGTAACGCGCTCTACGTGGGGCTACCCTTGAAGACGGTCCGGATACTTCAATTGGTTCAGAATAGAGCTGCCAGGCTGCTGACGGGGACTGGACGTTATGTTCACATGACACCAGTTCTCCGTCAGCTTCACTGGCTCCCCATTGAAGTCCGGGCCCAATTCAAGGTGTTGGTAATGACCTATAAAGCCCTAAACGGCTTGGGTCCTGGTTACCTGAAGGAGCGCTTACATCCATATTTGCCCAGTCGCCCCCTGAGATCGGCGGGAGAGGCCCTTCTCCGGGAGCCCTCCGTGAGAGAAATTAGGAGGGTGGCTACTCGGAGAAGGGCTTTCTCAGCGGTGGCGCCTAAGTTATGGAATGCGCTCCCCAGAGAGGTCCGCCTGGCGCCGTCGTTATTTGTTTTTCGGCGCCAGGCTAAGACCTTTTTATTTAAGCAACATTTTAAATGCTAAATACAATTGAATTTTATCTGGCCAGGGCGGCTTATTTTATAATGTGAGTTTTAATTAAGATTATTTTATATGGATTTTAACTTGTTTTATCTATGTTGTAAGCCGCCCCGAGGCTTCGGCGAATGGGGCGGCATAAAAATGTTTTAATAAATAAATAAATAAATAAATCATTCCCTAGATAAGAACTGCTTTTGCTGTGAGAAGAAAACTGTTTGATTTACTGAAGCAACTGTGCCTCCCCCTCTGTCTACCAGGACGTGGGATTAAAGTCTGTCTGCAAACTGACAGATTGTGAGAAAGAAGCTGCATTTATGTATTTATTTCTTGCTATTGGCTTGTGAGGAGGAATTGATATGTTGTTTATCCAGGAAACTTGGGAAAACATAGAATACCCCCTGGCCTGCTCAGGGAACCAATATAGCCACAGATATATGGAGCGTAAGCTTTCTTGTGTTTATTTATATTCTGTATCCATATTCCATCATCATTTTCAATGAACTATTTATTATCTTTGACTCAGGGGATTTTGCGTTTTCCTAAGTATCCTTGAATCTGAAGTGAGAGGCATTGGCTAAACTAGTCCACTTGGATTAATAGAGTCCTCTGTCAAAAATTGTCCATTATTTCATAGACTGTGTAACCTAAAGCCAAAGCACCAGAGAACTAAATTTCTAACCATCCCAAGTTAGCATGTGGACTGCAGATCAAGCAGACACACAGCTCACAGCTCATCTTCTCAACCATTGCGGGATATATTCTATTTCTATTTAAATTGTAATTATTTTAAGTCTGCATCTCTGCACACATATCAACACATGTAAATATTGGTGTCTTCTGCTTTGATGATGCATTTCTTATTTTGTGGCAATATATACGCAGCCGTGTACAGTTACCTCTCTCTCCCCCACCCCATTTTTAATCTAGAGTAAGCAGAGGAAAGCCAATCGAGACTGGGACCCCAGCATGGGGGGTAGGAGGAGAGAGTCAGGTAAGAGCAGAAGTAGAAAGAAGACAGAGCTGTTAGCCATGCATACAAAGTGGCCTCTCGTTGGCCCTCCAGCTGCACAAGCCAAGCAAAGAAGAGAACCAGGTGTGTGCTTACCTGAGGGATGCTCCAAGAAACAGTTAGGAGTGATGCTGAAAGCAACAAGGCCAAGGCGGCTGTTGCCCCACCATGGAGTCCCTGAAAAGGGAAAAGCAACCGAGAGGACATAGCCAGCTCCATTCCAGCTCCATTCCAAAAACTCATCTGTGTTCTGCCCCACCCTTGGAAGATTAACAATAAAAAGGCACTGTCTGCTTCCTTAGCCCCAAATACCCAATGCTCTCGGTTCCTGTGCTTCTAGCAAGGACAGCAGCGGTGCTCAAGGGCCTTCTGCAGCCTCATCTGGCAGGGCTTGTCCAGCAGGGCTGCCTCTTCTCCTCCCACTGTTCTTGGCCTTCCACACTTTCCCTGAAGGCTGGGGCACATGGCCCACAACCAGCCCCCTACAAGCTGGCTGGCCAGGTGCTGGAGCTGTGTGGGGAATGCAGCAGGTGGGCACAAGCTGGGCTGGTGAAGTCCACCCATCTCATGGTCCCACCACAATCCTCTTTGGGTGTCTCCAGGACTGACATGGAAGCGGTCGCCTCACTCGCCCGCAGCGAAGGGTACCCAGAGCTTCTGCTACAGAGAGAGAGGGAGGGACAGGGCAGCACCTGTGGCTTTGTCCTTAGAGGTGCTGGCTTTGTCCTTCTGGGACAGTGCTGGTGTTGGCTTTACAATTCAAAGTTTAGGCAGTGTGTAACTCCAGTCTGTCTATCTGATTTCCCTATGTGAAGATGGTCAGTGCTGAGCCCTAACATCTGTAAAGAAGCACTGCAGGACTCAAGGACATTTCTGGCCCTTCCTGCACCATCAGCTCAATTTGCAGTTTCAGTTTGCAAGTGATATGGGAATCGCATGGGAATCCGTAAGCTGGTCTTGCTGCTTTCAGCATCACTGCTCGGTCCAGCGGTGGACAAGCAGCCGCCCTCCAGATCAGGTCAGCCCACATGCCGTCCTGACGGCACGCTTGCTCTCAGTGGATCCCTGCAGCTGAGGGGACGTGTTTGGACCCTTCTTCCAACCCTTGTAGCTGCCGTGTGCCCAGACCTGTTAGTAAGAACACCAACTGACAGATCACTGTCTTGGAGGCCCCTTCACGAGTCATCCCATAGATAAGGGCTGCTTTTGCTATGAAAGCACCCTTTGCTGGTCGCCCAGTTTCCAAGTGTGACCCTGGAGAAGGGACTTGGGGCAGTGAGGGGCATGGGGAGGCGGAGGGAAGAAAATGCGGTGCATCCTGGCAGAAGCTCACCCTCCTTGGCTGTCTGGATGCGTTGTAGGGCCACAGGGGCAGTGGGCCGATTTTTGCCTCTGCCCGCTACCACCCTGCCTATGGTGCCTGCAATTCTCTCCATTTGCAGAGGTTATGGGCTGCCTCCTTGGAAGGCATCCTAAAAGCACAATATTATCCCCATCGAGACAGGAAAAAACCTACTACAATTCCCAGAATTGCCCAGCCAGCCACGTCGGTCATGGAATTCTGGGAACTGTAGGATTCCTTTTTTCTAGTATTATTATTATGTTATTAGAACAGTATTGCATGTTTGGGTGTGCAAAGGATTGCTCTCTAAGTGGGTGAGGCTACATTCTTATATATGCCTTCCTCTGTGTTCCACTGATCATAAAGGAAGTTCCTTCTGGGTGGGTCAACATCCCCAGGGCTACAAGTTTAATGGTTAACAGCACAGCCCTGTGTGTGCTTACTCGGAAGGAGGCAAAGAAGGGTATTTCAGCAGGCGGTGCTTGTAGGAGATCCGCAGAAGTCAGTCCCATTGAGTTCAGTGGAGCTCAAAAGCAGGGTGAGAAAGTGTGTGGACTGGAGCTCCCATCCAGCGCAGCCAATGGACAGTGATGATGGGAGTTGGAGTCCCACAGCGCCCGGCTTTCCCCAGGTTCTCCGTCTGTGGTTGAAAGGGTAGCTGTGTTTCATAAGGGGGGAAGTTGTTCTCTTGTTTGCTTTTAATAGTTCACTAAGAGAAACACAGCACTTTTGTATTAAAAGAAATACAAAACTCGTGGGTGTATCTCAGAAGCGGTGTTCTCCCTTTTCTCAAATAAGAGGGAAAACCTCGTATCTCATGCCTGAGAACTCCTATGCATTGGGCAAAATAAACAAATAAACAAATAAACCAACCCTTGCTTTTACTTATCTGAAAATGCATGTGGATTTAATTCCTTTAATAAGGTTGCTACAGTAAGGCACAACTATAATTCCATATTTGCATCAATGTTTTCTCTCTCTCTCTCTCTCTCTCTCTCTCTCTCTCTCTCTCTCTCTCCCCCCCCCCCCCCGTGTGTGTGTGTGTGTGTGTGTGATATACATCATGGATGCAATCCACATAAAATTAAGGGTGAATTCCTATATATGTTGAAGTAAAATAAGTTATACAGGTCCCAGTTTTTCCAGAAAACATATAGGACTTTTTCTGTCTTATGTATAGGATTGTACAGTAAAACTGCATTATGTCCATGTGTCAACTCTCCTTGTGAAATTGAGGGGCCTCAGGCTGAAAGATTCTGCATATTTACCTGGGAGTAAGTCCAGCTGAGCTCAAGGGGGGTCTTTCTGAGCATACATGACTAAGATGCCAGTGCTGAGGTACAGTCCTAAATACCTTACTGAATTATATGTATATGATTGCATGCTTAAAAGTGCTCCCACTGTGGGTGGATTGGGCCCCATTTAAATCACCACACTTGGTCTGACTTCTCACTCCCTTCGCATGACAGACATGATAACAAAGGACAAAAGCTAGGCACATGGTCAATTCCGGAAAAATATTTAGTCTGATTTCCCAGTCTGTGAATAATCAAGTTTCCCCCCAACCCTTGCTTCAAACCATAGCCTTCCTTAAATTCTCTGCACCATTTTATTTCTAGATAAATCTCAGCCAGTTTTACTTTGTAGAGTCAGTTTAATAAGCTTTGATACAGCTAATAATCTTGATGGAATGAAATTGTTTCAGAGGCTTAAGCTTTAGAATAAGAGATACAGCTGCCTGCATCAACTTCTGTGGAGATCTGAGGAAATCTTACTTTGTATGTTGGATTCTCTGTACTAAGAATTGTTTATTACTCAGACAACAAATGATTTATTTATATATGGCTGCTGAGGAAATCATGCAACCTCTTTTATTGGCACCCAAGTGCTCAAATCTATCATGTGGGAGTCAAGGAAATGTTATTTATTTCAGTTGCACTTCTAGACACAAAGCTTTAGATCTTACTAGATTTAGGAGTTAATGTAGGAGTTTACTATACATTAATATTTATGGCCACATTTCTAGTTAAACTAGAAAAAGCACAACAGCACTTGTAATACTTAGCAATACTGTCTGCTCGATCAACCAGAAATTGAAAATAATTGTTATGATCACATACCTTCATTCTCTTCTCTCCTGCTGGTCCAGGTTTTGGTAGGTGTGTAGCTGGTACAGAAGATGAGATGTGAAGTAGTCATCATGCAGTAATCCCTATTTAAGTCTTCCAGATGGAAAAGCCCTCCCCATTGGAGGCAAGAGTGGAGCATTCCAAAGGGACCTCTTGTCAAGCTTGGACGAGAAGACATGGAGCGGCTGACGTCTTCTGGAGTTGGAGGAGGACGTCCACAAAGCTTCAGGGAAAGTTACCCAAAGTTCTGACACAGACACTCGCCATATTGAATGAATGTACCAGCCTCAGTTCCCAGTAATACAGCTTTTGTCCTAACACTGAAAGAGCAAGTCTTCCTGCTAAGGCAGGCATACAGGAGCGACCTTAACTCGGGAATCATCTTGACATGAATGACAGCAATGAAATGATGTGACCCCAAGATAGCGGAGCTCATGGGCCTCTTCACGACCTCAGTCATGCAGCAGAGAAGGTGATCCAAGGCTATCTGGCAATGAACACCACAAATATCTCAGCCAAGAAACAAGCTAGTCAAACTTCTCCGCATGCTCAATTTATTAAATTTAAATTAGAATTTAAATTCAAGACATTTTCTCACAATGGAATAACTCCAGGTCATTTGCCTTCATTGGCCAGTTTTCAAAATCAGTAATTGAACCTATCTGATTATTATGAACATGTGTTCATAATAATATGGTTATTATATTGTTATGTGAACATATTTTATATTGTTAACTTGTTTTATATTTTTAGTGTATAATATTTTAATTGATATATTTGTGAGCCGCCCCAAGGCTTCGGCAAATGGGGCGGCATAGAAATTTTCTAAATAAACAAATAAATAAGGGATTTCCACGCCCCTCAGTTTTGGTGCATAGATGTCTTCTCCCGAATAGTGTCGCAGTTCCTCGTGGCTGCTGGAGCGGTCTCCTGCCCCAAGAGCTGGCTGCCTCAAATGCAGGGCAGAGAATCCCCCACCATCCTGTTTCCATTGATGTGTGATTTTGCTTGGTGTGAACACAAACGGTATGGCTGGTGTGAGGGAAACCATGCCTTGTACGTCTCAAATATTAGCCACTTCAGGATGGATAAATCTGGTGGGTTTTCCCCACTTTTGAATGATCTCACATGCTTTCCATCTCACCAACCCAGAGCGTTGAGTCTCTTTCAGCCCAAGGGTTACATTTTGGAGTTTTTGAGGAGGGGCTCATGGGAGTGGGGAGAAAAGAAATGGGGGTTGAGCTGGAGGCAAGAAGGACTGGGCCAGAACACCAGCCTGTTTGTAGTTTTCTGCCAATAAGTAAGGTTCAGGCGAGGAATTTTAATTTTTAGAAAGGGTTGAGGGACAGCGCAGAAGCTGGAGAACTACCTGATGTTCAGTGGTCAAAAAAAGGGGGACATGGTATGGGGGTATATCTGGTGGCTGGAGAAAATGGGTGTGTGGAAAATTGTGACCCCCTGAGAGAACCAGGTTTGATCCCAGGACCAGAATTTCTCAGCCTGCCATATATGAAGCAATTGGAAATGTGGGTAAATTCATATGCAAAACAATCTGAAACAAAATTCTCAACCCAGATGCACTAGCCAAATCCAGATCTTAGGTGCTTTCTTCACAAAGAAATTTGTGAATGTTGGCAAGTTCTTATATAAAAATGTTTTAATAAATAAAATAAAAAAATATTTTTAAGGCTTTTGTTTTGGCTGGGTGATAGGCAGGAGAAAGGGAGAGGAACTCTTTCTTCATTCTTCCACCACCACGGCTGTCCTCAGCCTCCTGGTTTCCTCATAGTCTCCAAACTCCTTTGTACATTTTTAAAGAACATTTGTGCAGAAATGTTTGAAAATTGGCAGGCAGGGTAGAAAGGAAGCTGGGAAACAGAGAGGAATTAGAACCAGAGAGGAATTATGGCTTTGCTCACTTCTTCTTTGGGATGAGCTTCTCATGCAAAGTTGCATCCAGGACTGAGTTTAGGAGACAGCAGCAACATCTTCAGACTGGCATACCAAATTCCAAAAAGTTCCACTTTAGAAGCATTTAATCTGGGAGACAATGAGTCCAGCTCAAAACATTGGATCTGCAGATGTATGTTAAATACATACATATATTGTGAATGGGTAAGGGGAAGAAATGATCTTTGTCCAGATGTCCAGACATACAGAGACATACCTTGGAGATATTCCAGGTTCGGTTCCAGGCCACCGCAATAAAGTGGATATCGCAATGAAGTGGGCCACATGATTTTTTCTGTTTTTGTTTCGCAGTGCATAGAAAAGTTATGTTTACACTGTACTATAGTCTATTACGAGTGCAATAGCATTATGTCTAAAAAACAAGTTACATACCTTTATTTAAAAACATTTTATTGCTAAAAATATGTTCTAACCATCACCTGAGCCTTGCGAGTCGTAATCCTTTTGCTGGTGGAGGGTTTTGCCTGATCAGGGTGGAGCTAGCAGAAGGTTGGGGTGTCCGTGGCAATGTCTCAAAATAAGGCCACATTGAAGTTTGCCACAGCAATTGACTCTTCCTTTAGAGAAAGATTTCTCTGTAGCACTCAA